AAAAAAAAAATGCCTTAAGTGTTCTTTCCCAATATAAAAGTACTCACTATTCCACTAAAGACAAAGTAATGTTTTTGAATCTAAAGGAATCAGCAACTCACGTAAGAGTTAATTATTCTAGAGAAACATGGTCAGTCTTCAGAAAGTGGGAGTAGGAAAAAAAAGAAATAATGCCATACTACTGTGCAAATCTCACATACAGGTTCCAGGCCCCGGGTAATATTTTCCAGATGTGAGTATCTTTCCTTCCTAGTTATCTCTGTCTTTAAACCAAGCTTATGTCCTGTCCAGCAAGTAAAATTCCTATAATGGGGATTAACTAACTCCCAGGCACATACAACATGTAAGAGATGAGTTCCTAAACAAGCTCTATATATGCAGGATGGCTACTGAGGATGTTATGAACAGGAAACAAAACACAACAAAAGGACAGCCTTACCAACAATGGCATTGTTTCCTCCAAGTTCTAACAAACTTCTCCCTTTAAAAAAAAACACAAACACAAACTAATGTCTGTTTCAGTATTTTCCGCACACTGCTATATGGCCTCGCGTTATAGCCCATCCCAATTACTTTTAAATTTATTCTGATTTATAAAGTAGTACAACTACTGGATCAATGTCAGATTTCCTGATTTTGGTAACTGTATCATGGTTATTTGAGAGAATGTCTGTATTCTTAGGAAACACACTGAAATATTTAGTGGTAAAGGGAGGTGTCTTCAACTTACTCCAAACAGTTCAACAATAATATGCACCAACAGTGTGTGCACATGTGTGTGTGTGATATATGCACATATGTTGCTGAAGAGAGAGAAAATAATAAAGCAAATGGAGCAAAATGTAAGCAATTTGTAAGTCTGGTTAAAGAGTGTACAGTATAGGAATTCCTTGTGTTAGTCTTGTAATTTTTCTCTAAGTTTAAAATTATATAAGAAAAAAAGAGTTAGTGTAAAATGCAACAGCCACTATAGAAAACAGTCTGGCAATACCCCCAAACACCATTAAACAGAGAGTTACATATGATCTAGCAATTCCACTTCTGGGTATATAACCAAAGTGGTGAAAGCAGGGACTTGAACAGGTATTTAGTCACTAATGTTCACAGCAGCATTATTCACAACAGTCAAAAGGTGGAAGCCACCCAAGTGTCCACAAAGAGATGAACAGATAAAGAAAATGTGGTTTATGCATACAATGGATTATGCAGCCTTAAAAAAGGAAATCCTTTCACATGCTACAATGTGGATGAACCTGGAGGACCTTATGCTAAGACAAATAAGCCAGTCACAAAAGGACGTGCTGGACAGTTAGCTTGGTTGCTTAGACCAAGGCTTTGTGACAACAA